CGCCGCTCCCTCTGCACGGCGCGCACCCGCTCGCGCCCGCCGTGGGCCCTCATCCAGCGCGCGTCGGTGGACGAGTCCGGGGCGCCGGCGCCGGGCGTGACCTTCCGCGCTGTCGACTGCGAGCCCCCGTCCGTCGCCGGCCTCACCTTCCCCGCCCACCTCGTCCACCCGCGCCGCCCCGGGGCCGGCGACGGCGGCTTCGTCTCGGGCCAGGTCGCCGCCGCCAGCGGCGACGGCCTCCTCCTCGTGCGCTTCTGCCACGCCCGCCTCGACGCCCACGCCCTCGGCGGCCTCTACGCCCTCCCCCTGCCGTCCCAGATGCGCTGCCTCTCCTGGGCCGGCACGGACGTGGACCCGGAGGTGGTCCGCTTCGACTGCAACCCGCTCACCGGCGAGCTCTACCGCCTCCCGGACCTCGACGGCACCAAGAGGACGTCCGCCTGCCGCCACCTCGGCCTCCTCACCCAGTCCCAGGCCGGCGACGGGCCGCCTGACAGGTACGCGGTGGCAGAGATGTTTACTGACGGAGGCCAGGAAGAGGATGAGGGGGGCTTCGTCATGCGCCGGTTCCTCTCGGAGACGGGGAAGTGGGACATGGTGGCCGGCTTGCCGTCCCCGCTGCCCGCTGGGCGGAAGATGGACATCGACAACGCCGTGGTGGCCTTCGGCGACCGCCTGTGGTGGATCGACGAGAGCTGGGGCGCCATCTCCGTGGACCCCCTCAGCGACCGTCCGGAGCTCCGGTTCGTCGAGCTGCCAAGAAGCAGCGTTCTCCCCGACCTGGATGGCCTGGTGTTGAAGACATTGATGAACGAAAATATATAATAGAACACCTGCACCCAGGCCCTCCCTATCTAGCCATCCATTCTGCGCTTCGCGATTCGTGCAAACACATTTTTCTTTTTTGTTTCTCTTGCATAAAACATGTTTTGAAGTTCAAACCTTTGCAGCGCGGCAAAGCTTTCTATCTAGAATCTAGGATAAATCTTTCAGATTTTTTGGTCAAAAATAAATATACAAAAAATGATTTTTAAATCTAAAAAAACATTTTTTGTATATTTATTTTTGACCAAAAAATCTGAAAGATTTATCCTAGATTCTAGATAGAAAGCTTTGCCACGCTGCAAAGGTTTGAACTTCAAAACATGTTTTATGCGAGAGAAACAAAAAAGAGAAAATTTCAGATAGAAAGTTAGTTGTGTTGCACAGATCTTAAAGCAATTTTGGACAGCTAGGATAGCAGGGCCCGGGTGCAGCTGTTCTAAAAATCCACGTCCCATTGATGAAGACATTGGGCAGCCACCGGCGCATGGGGGTCAGCGAGGGGAAGATGCGCTACATTGAGGTCTCCATGGAGAAGCCGTATGTGATCAGCTTGTTCTCGCTCGACGACGGGGGCAGCTCCTGGACGCTGGACTATGAGACGGCGTTTGCTCCAATTTGGGATGATGCACTCCTCTGTTCGGCACCCTTGGAGCAAATGCTGACAATTGGCGCCATCAACCCACTGAAAGCTAACATCGTGTACCTTGCCTGCGGCGACAAAATTCTAGGCGTCGATATGGTTACTAAGAAGATAACTGGGATTTCTGGTCTAGCTATAGCTGTACCAGATCTCCCCCTACTACCATGTGTGCTCCCAACGTGGCTGGAATCGAGCCAAATTCCATCTGCAGGTAACATTCACATTTGCTTGAGTCCTGGAAGTGGTGAAAGCAAGAATACTAGTATCACTATACAACTGTTAGATTGGTCCATTGGATACATTTCATTTTAACTTGTCTTGTGAAATTATGTGCTTGGAGCCTTGGAGGTTCATGCAGAATCCTCCCCATGCACAGATTGTGCTATAGAATTTAGGAAAAGTGGGGGGAAATTGAGGTGAATTTGAGGGAGCTCAGGGAGGGTAGTGTTTGGAGTCTTTTTGTTGTGATCCACCAATACTAGAAACAAAATAAGCGTAGATAGGAAGAATAGGCAGTGGATGGAATATAGCTCAAGTGAAAGGCTGAGTATGTTCTAGTCTGTTCATCTCCTGGTTCTGCTGCCCTTTAAACCTCACCAGAACGTGCCACCTCTTATCCTAGTAGCAGCTACGTCGCATGGCCCTTGTGACTTCCCTTTTTGTTACTTTTGTTGCCTTTATATATATGGAGAAAATATCAGCCTATCATCTTTGTGTTGAGTTGTGGTACCTGCTGCATCCTCTTCTCAGTATCGGAATCATGTCTGTGCCTTCCGCTCACGCACAACCAAGACATGCCTCCCCAATAATTGCTGCTGGGAGCTAGATGGCATCTTGCCGTTCACACCTTCCCTCTCAATGCTGTTCCATGGAGCTTGCGTGCCGCCTTATATTATCATTTCAGTGGTTTTTCTACATTTCTAATATTCTATACCAGCGCATTGTTGTTCGTATCCCTGTTTCTGAAATTTTCATGCCACCACATCCATATTGTGTATCAGGGCAGACTAGGGAACATGTTCATTTATTTACTTGTTTGATTAGATATTTGTATGTCTATATGCATTTTATTCATCCATAATTACTGTAATCTGTGCAATATCTCAATTCTCCTTTGCCATTTCTAGTCGTTGACGCTATGCAGAGAAATGTATAAGGTGTTGTTTAAGTTCTTGCTTTCATTGTTGCAGGTTGGAGCAAGAAAAACACCCGTAAAAGTGAGGTATCGCCAAACACTGTCAAAAGGGAGAATTTGCATGTCGAAATAGAACTGTTGAAATGAAGTGCACCGGCTAATCTTTCTTATGGTACTTTCTCATAACTAGCTCTCCTTGTTTCACCCCCTCCGTTCCAAAATAAGTGTCGTGATTTTAGCTTATTTTGAAGAGGGAGTATTATTCATCACAGCCCAAATCCTATTGTGGATTTGTGGTGCACTTTTCTGATTCACCAGACATGACTTATTATTACAAAGTTAAAACTTGGAGTGTGAAACATCAAAGGGGTTATGCATGATCCATTGTTTTTCATCATTAATATATTATTAACACCTACTGATCTTATGATCTTGCCTAAACTTGCTGCTTGTTCTTGCTACTGTTGAAGTATATGTGGATTGCCCAACTTTCTCCATGAGTTTGGACCTTTTGGCTCTACTACTCTTGGGGTTCAAATCTCGCTTCAACGGAATTTAAAGGGGGTGTTGAAGTATAGGTGGATTACCCAACCTTGGGTTCACCCCTTTCTATCCACGTTTAGGCCTTATCATGTCATGCATTAGAGGGGGTGTTGAAGTATAGGTGGATTGCCCAACCTTCTCTAACTGTTTTGGACTTTTGGTCTTCTGGTTAGTGCATGAAACTTAATAGCTAACTTTGTCATAAGACCATGTCATGATTTTGGCTGCAACAGTGAGTAAACAAAGCATGTTTGCAGTCTGCAGATGGCATCTCATTTTGTAATTGCTCTAAAGCAGTATCAACTGGAATCTGTTTGTGCTGTTGTGTACTTCTGAACTCATGTTTGTGTTTATGTGTGTTTATATTGAGCCCATGAAGAAACTAAAGGAACAAAAATCTTTTGTTTATGTCAGGTGTTCTCTCCATGCCAGTATTTTGATGTCTCTAGTATGCAAAAAATTTCAGAATCATGACACAGATCTCAACGAAACTCATGTTTATATTTTGGTTTGCAGGTTACTCCAAATTGTCAGATCAGAGTTATTTTGGAGGTTTAGGAAACTAATGGTGGTACTTTTCTGAAATCTCATTTTGGGGGGAATTCCTTGAGAAGTTTGGGTATATTAGGATTTGCTGATGCACTTCCTCAATCACAGTTCGGGCAAAAAACTGTGGCGAGAAGTTTGTCATATTTTGGCTTTACTTGTGCGCTGTTGAATTCAGTACAATGGTTGATTCCTTCGCCAATTCGACATGTAACAGAAGTTAATGATAACATGACGCAACGTGCCCTCTTAACTTCAAATGAATTAATATCTTTTGGAAGTTAGAATTCTGGATCATTATGCTAGACTGATCTGGAATCTGAAATCTTGTTTTTAACTTGAGAATGCTTACTTTGAACTGAATGAATGGGCGGGGCTTGTAAGCTTAAACCAATGTGCTCTGGCATTGTTATGGAATGATGATTGGAATCTGGGGATAAGCTTCATCCTGGGCATTGGCATGTACCTCAATTGGTATTTTGGAGTGGTTTAAATATGTTGTGAACTGTGGCTGTTCTTGGAGTGTGCATGCCAGTTTTTTTTTCCTTTTCAGTTAGGATGCCTTGAGGACGAGCTGCAGAGATGGTACATGTCGACTGTACATGCTTTAGGATGAAAACCCTGCTTTAACATTCTGATTTTGTTTTCTACATAATCGCAGTTTGGCGAATTGATTTTCCAATACGTTCAACTAGAGATTCTGATGATCCACAAGTCAAAACTCTTTTTTTTTCTTCTTTTTTATACTTGGCCAACTGAAAATTTGTAGAGTTTGGGAGGAGGATGACTTGGGGCCACTATTGGTCCTTTTTTTTTGCGGGTAAAACTATTGGTCCTAGTAGTGAGCAAACTCCTCTTTCTCTTGGCCTAGAAAATTTTGAATGTAAATGATGAGGGTGCCAAGTGTCGAGGGAAAGTCATACGTCTGTATCCTTGTGACGTGTATTACCGTATTTTCTGTATATGCGTTGGCCTGGGGAGCCATACTTGAGCGACTGACCTAGCAAGGCTTTTTTTGTATGGTAATACGTGTCTCATTCATATCATAAAGATTAAAGTACAAGTCACGTAAGGACCGACATGACAAAACTGAAAAGCTAGCAAAACATCTCTGAGCTTGACACCAACGCCCATCACCTGCCTCCGGCACCACGACAGCAGCCACCGCAGAAAAGAATGATGGATCACCTCCTCACCCGAGCTCGATGCGGCTCCATCGCTGGTATGCAGCTTTGCGGATCTCCAAGGTGGCTCACCAAAAGTGAAGCCCTTACCGTTGAACGAATCAGACCGGGGCAACACCCTGGACACGCCATCGAACTCCAGATCTGGCACCCCACCGCGACTAAGACGTCGCAGAAGAAAACCATACCTGCCATCCACGAACCACGAACCCAGCACATGTTCCGTCTTCCAGATGTCATCGATGCAGACCACAATCTGCATCCGCTCCTGGACTACCTCCCAAACTCCGCGCCGACGCTGGAGCAAACGTCGTCGCAACGGCGGAGCCCGAGGACACATGTCCATCACGAGGATGCCGCCGCCGCTACGCCATCCTTGCTTGAACAGACTGATTTCCAAATCCATCCCCAACCATAGGACCGATGGCCTTGTCAAGGAAGGATCCGAAGAATCTTTATTCAGCACTGTCATCGTTGCCGCCGAAACGAAGACGATGAACAGCCTAAAAATCTAAACTACGAGAGAGTAAAAATGATCCACATGCGTGGATCCGGCGGCCCCCTCACCACTAACGACCGAGGTCGCCGCCGGAGGGGAGCCGCCGGAGGACGGCGCTGGAAGATTGGTCTCCTGGCGGCGGCTAGGGTTCCAGCGTCAGGGACAGGAGAACCCCGAGTTTTATTTATATCGCACGTTTCTCGAGAGGAACACGTATTCAACATGGCAAACCTAATCGACATAGAGAAGAAGAAAACAAAGGCGCATCATGGCAAAAAAATCGACTTATAGAAGGACGAAAGAAAAGGCTCATCTGGGAAGTAACCATGCACATCTTGGATCCCACCAACACATACGTGGGTTGTGAGACTACCTCCGCCCTTAGCCTGAGGGCAATACTCACGTGTTGCAATTGCCATGAACATAAGAGACATTGTAGAATGGTCTTTAAGCTGAAGTTAAAAACTATTCTTACAATCTCGTGAATTATGGTGGAATCTTGGAGCACCCAGGGTTACCCTAATGATGAGTAGTTATGGAGATGAAGGCTGTGGAGGAGTGGGTGACGAATGGATCTCGACCTTGTCTGTGAACTTGCTCCCGGATTTCTCTCACCCCCCCTCCCATTCCTCTGAATATCACCGGTGCTCTCGATTACGGTTGGGGACAGGGGCTGTTCCCAATCCCGAGGCTTGAACCTAGGTAAAATCACTTTGTCATCTTCATCACCGACGAGATCCCTTTAGATACCACCCTTCTCTGTACGGTAGTTCACGACTACATATAGCTCGTAAGATCGGCGTAAAATTATTCATCGACACAAAAGGGTGTCTACTAACTTATCCTAGAGCCTAGACATTTGAATAATTATCCTAAAATTTTATTTCCAAGATTTTTTATGAGGTTTTCATCCACATTTAATTTGGTTGGTTTCTATTCAAATTTTTAGTTTGAAAAAACTTATATAGGAGTTGGGGTTGATATATTTACCAGTGGTCATAAGATAGCTTAAGAAAGCTTGGGTTAAAATTTAGACCCTGATATCCTCCACACGTTTTAGGTGGGGAGAACATCGCCCACACGTGTGGTACCAGCAATCGACCCACCGAATGAGGAATATCCTATTTGCCGCTCGTTGCGTCAAACTGCCGGCGCTTCGCACAGGCGAGGGACCGAGCAGCGACGTAACGGGCTAGCCCGTTTAACTGTTCCAGCACTCCCGGTTTTGGGAACCTTCTAGAGGTTCCCAGCTGTTTTTTTTCGGTTTGGGGAACCTTTCTAGAAGGTTCCTGAACCGGTTTTTTATTTTTCTTTCTTTTTCTATTTCTTTTTCTTTTTCTTTTCTTTTTTCTTTTTTGTCTTTCAAGTTTATGTTTTCTCTCTCAATAAAATGTTCGAGCTTTTACATAAATGTTCAAAATTTGAAAAATCTTCATGTTTTCAAATTTTGTTCATAAATTCAAAAACTGTATGCATTTATCAAAAAATGTTCGGAATTTTCAAAAAATATTTTGAGTTAACAAAATTGTTCAGAATGTTTTTGTTCAAAATTTTGACAACTTTAAAAAAAATGTTCGCAATTTCAAAAACTGTTTCCGTTTCAAAAATTGTTTGCAATTTTCCAAAAATGTTCATGAATTTGTGAATATATTCGTTTTAGATTTTCTTCACGTATTCAACTTTTGCTCACGTATTAAAAAAATGTTCAATTTTGAAATTTGTTTGGAATTTTTAAAATTGTTTTCTCTTTCTAACTTTGGTCTAAAAATGTTCTTGTTTCCTTTTTGGTTTCTTTTTTCGTTTTTTTTCAATTTTTTTTGAAAAAAGTTCAGGTTTCAAAAATTGTACTTAACCTTAAAAATTGTTCCCACTTTCAAAAAATCTTCATTTTTTTAAAAATGGCCGCATTGTCCAAAATTGTTCATAAATTCAAAGAATGTTCGCATTTTAAACAAAATGTTGTGGGATTTAAAAAATATTCCCTTTTTAAAAAATGTTCGTATTTGCCTTTTTTGGTTTTCTTTTCTATTTGGAATTTTCAATAAATGTGTTCACTAATTTGAAAAGAAATCATGTTTTTGACAATTTGTTCGCGAACTCAAAATATGTTCGAGGAATTTGAAAAAATGTTCTCATTTCTAAATTTTGTTTCATATATTTGAAAATGTTCTGTAATTTCAAAAAAAGTTCCAGCCTTTTCAATTTTGTTCACATACTCAAAAAAGGGTCATGTTTTCTGAATTTTCTGAAAAAGTGTGTTTTGAACAAATTATTCATAATTTCCAAAAAAAATCATGTTTAGAAAAAAATGTTCATGATTTCAAAAAAATGTCCCTGATTTTTAGAAAATGTCATAGTTTTTCGGAAAATTGTTC